CCCCGAAATTCTGTGCTCTGGGGAAAGGTCGCTCCAGCACCGGCTGTGCGCAGGGTGCCACGGGGACGCGGTGGTTCAGCAGGAGGTTATTCCTGTGCTGCGAGCAGGGAATGACTGTGTTGGGAATGTCAGAGCCCTGTCCTGTGGGGAGCCGCTGGGGAATCAGGGAGTGTTGGAGCTTCTGGGATAAAGTGAAAGGTCCCGGTTCAATCCCGGGGTTGGAGGAGCTCAGCGAGGGGGACCGACACCACCGAGGAAGGGCTGGTGTTGCCGGGGGCTTCCAGCGGCCTGGCTGGGGGTGTTCCAGCAGCACGTGGAAGGGTTTGGATTTAAAACAGCCCTGTTCCCTGTCGGCTTGTACACACACCCCCACGCACACACCCACCCACGGGCACCCCTTGGCCCTTGACGCCAGCGTGGCTGTGCCAGCTCATCCAAAGGGATGTGACCAGCGTGTGGGTGGCTGGATGTCACCTGCCTCAGGGCCGCCATCCAAGTGGGAAGACCCTTGGATTTGGCCTCTCGCCTGCCCCCCAAAACCCCTTGGCACGGGGGTTCCGGGGCCGGTGGTGCCGTAGGGAGGCGGGTGGGAGCCGAGTGGCACAGCCGGACAGCCAGAGCCCAGCGGGAGCGATGCAGCAGCTCGGCACAGGGGTAATTAGCAGCTTTGATTCCAGATCCTCATTAGGGGCTGGCACCCCCCGCTGTTGCGCTCCGTGCAATTAGTCGCTAAGTAACACACGGATATTTATACCCCGGCAGAGAACCGGGGCCGGCACGATGCCGGATCGGCATCGCCGGGATGCTCCGGCTGGGGCCGGCGACCATCGCCGTGACGGCGACATTTTGGGACGAGCAGCCTGTCCTTGCAGGCCAACGAGCCGGGATGAGGGTCCAAAAGGCACCCCGCGGTGCTCAGCAGTGGGGCAGCACCCAAGGGTGGGCATCCACAGGGACACGCGTGACACCGTCGCCACCCCGATGAAGCCACATCCTTGGCACCGCCGTGGAGGACCGGCCGCTCCAAGAGCCATTTCTATGGGGAAGATGTTTTATCTTCCCTCTCGCCCCACCCTAATTAATTGTTTTAATTAAGGAAATGCCACCTCCACTCCCGACTGCCATTTGCCTGCAGAAACGTTGCTAATTACGGCGAGGGAAACGAGCCGGGGCTCGTTCGCAGGCAGCTGGGAGGGGGGTTGTGAGGGGAGGGGGCTAAAAATGTATAGGGAAAAAAAGGAAAATAAACGAGCTCTAAGATGCAAATCCCCCTTTAGGCAGCGGAGGGGGTTTGGGGGTCCCCTGTGAAGGAAGGGGTGCGGGTTTGGTGCCTCCATCCATCACCTCTGCCCGGCAGCCGGTGGGTGCTAAGGAAGCGCCCCTCGTTACGGTGTCACCCAGCCAGAAACCGGCTTGGGAAGGGGGGGTCGAACCCCCAAATTCGCCGCTGCACGGAGCTGGCACCGCCGCCTCCCTCGCCGGCTTTGTCAGCAGCAGCCGGGAGCTCGCGCTGCGCTCTGCTTTTTAACAGCGTTCATGAATTTTAATGGGCAGTTGCTGCTGGATTTCTCCTCTTCCCGCTGCTTTCCCGCCCCCCGCGGCCCTTCGGGTCGCCCTTCTCCTCCCCGGGGCAGCTCCGGGCTCACGGCATCCCCCGAGCTCCCCCCAAAATCCTCCCCCGGTGTCCCCCTGGTCACCCCCTCGATGGAGATCTCGCCCCACCAGCGCTGGGGGTTCCCCGCGGGGCTGCGGAACGAGGAGGCCACGGCTCTGTCCGAGGGGGCACCTCGGCGGCTTTTCCCGAAATTCCAGGGATATAAAGGCTCCGGAGACGCCACTTCAGAACCATCCGTCTTTATTAGCAGCTGGTTAACATCTCCCCGAGGGACCATAACGAAGGGAAGCAACTTAATCACCGTCATGCAGCAAAGTGCGGGCGGGCACGTCTCTCCCGGCCATTCCCACCCCCCCGGCGCGGCCGCTTCCCGGGGGCTGCGGTGTCCTCGGGTGCTCCCACACGGTGACAGTGTCCCTCCTGGTGTCCTCTGGCCCTCTGATGGTGTTTCTGCTGGCTCCGTATGACAGTATCCCCCCCCCGGGCCTGAAGCTTTGTCCCTGATGCTCCCTCCTGGCTCTCCTGGTCCCTCCTGATCCTGTGGTGATGTCCCTCCTGGATCTCCAGCCATGTCCCTCCCGGCTCCGAGCAGTGACTCACCCCTGGTCCTTCCCATCCCCTGGTTATGGTCCCTCCTGCTCCATGCCACAGCATCCCTCCTGATCTTGGAACCACATCTCTCCTGGCCCTGCAGTGACATCCCTCCTGGGCCTCCAGCCATGTGCCTCCTGGATCCCACGTCTCTCCTGGCCCCAAGCAGTGATGACCCCTCTGATGTCCCCTCTGCTCCCTCTTGGTCCCATGCAATAACATCCCTCCTGGTCTCTCCTGATCCCTCCTGGTCCTGTGCAGCAACACCCTTCCTGGTCCTGCAGTCATGGCTCTCCTTGCCCCAGGATGACACCCCTCCTGGTCCTCCTGGTCTCTTCTGGTCCCTCCTGGTCCGTGATGACATTCCCCCTCATTCCCCATCTCCAGAGCCCACAGCCACGCTGTTCTTAGGAAGGGGGGCTGGATCCTTTTCCCAGGGGATTTGGGATGTGGGTGTTGTGGGGTTTGGGTCTGCAAGGGAAAGGCCACAGGACCACAGCTCCTCAGCCCCCCTGCCCAGGCTCAGGGACACCGAGACCGGATTGTCACCAGGGGTGGTGGCACCCCCTGAGCCCCCACCGCGGTCCCGCAGCGGGAGGATAACATGGGGCTGCAGATCCAGCCCCAGGGGCTGCCAAACCCCAACACTCCTCACCCTGGCTCCATCCCAGCTCCCAGCAGCTTTCCCAACAGCTTCATTCCCAGCTCCTTTAGATTTGGGTCCCATTCTGAACACAAAGCGTCGCCTCGGAACGACTTTGGCGGCTGCCGAAGGGATCGAAATAACATTTTCTGGCGAAGATTTTGCTTTGTGTTTTTAAAAATGCGGCTCAGAAATCGCTCGTTGCTGTCGGTCCCTCCCCCTGACGCCGCCAAATTCCCGGAGATTTTGGAGCCGATCCCATCTGGCTCCAAAATTCCCCCTGTTCTGGGAGAAATTTCCCGGCTCCAGCTCCCGCCCCAAGGGCCGGTGTTGGGCCTGGGTGAGTTTTGGGAAGGATAGAAACAAGGCTGAGCTGCCAGTGGCTCTGCTTGGCTCCCCGGGCTGGGAAAAACCTGTTCCAGGAAGAGTGTGTAGGAGGGGGGGAAGGAGCAGGAGCAGCTGGATGGATCCTCCCCAGAGCTCTGCCACGGGTCTGAGGCAGGTCCTGCTGTCCCAGCACGGTGGAGGGAGTGGGGAACCACCAGGGACAGTCTGTCCTCCCATCCTGGGTCATTGAGCTGCTCTGACTGTGTGAGGGGAGGTGGTGGTGGCCGTGGGGAGGTGGTGGTGGCCACGAGATGGTGGTGGTGGTGGCCATAGGGGTGTGGTGGTGGCCATGGGGAGGTGATGGTGGTCACAGGATAGTGGTGGTGGCCATGGGAAGGTGGTGGTGGCCATGGGAAGGTGGTGGTGGCCATGGGGAGGTGGTGGTGGCCATGGGGGGGTGGTGGCCATGGGGAGGTGGTGGCCCTGGGGAGGTGGTGGTGGTCACAGGATAGTGGTGGTGGCCATGGGGAGGTGGTGGTGGCCATGGGAAGGTGGTGGTGGTCACAGGATAGTGGTGGTGGCCATGGGGAGATGGTGGTGGTGGCCCTGGGGAGATGGTGGTGGCCATAGGGGTGTGGTGGTGGCCCTGGGGAGATGGTGGTTGCAGATTCAAGCACCTGATACAAACCCCAAGGCCACAACCACCATCTCCCCAATTCCTTCCTTCATCCTCCATCCCTCCATCATCTTCATCACCAGGAACCCTTCCTTCATCCTTCACCCCCATCTCCACCATCCCCATCCCCAGCCCTTCCTTCATCCCCATCACCCCCCAGTCCTGTTCTCATCCCCCAACCCTCATCTCCACCATCCCCATCCCCGGCTCCTTCATCCCCATCAGGGAATCCCCACTCCCAGACACTGCGGATGCCGCTGGCTCCTGCTTCCCCCCGAGGAGGGACGGAGGAGAGGGTGACACCGGGATCATCCATCCAGCGCGCTGGAGATCAAGAGGAAAAGGATCAAAGGAGGGATGGATGCGGGTGAGCGACGGCAACCCCGTCACCCTGGAGACGGGAAGCAAATATTTGGGCTAACAGCGCTCCCGGGGAGCGGGACCGGGCTCTTCCCATTGTTGGGTGACAATAGGGATGGGCAGCTGATCCGCCGTGGCTGCTGCGGGGGGAATTTGGGATCTCGGTGGGTTTGTTGGGGGAAAACTGGCTGTCGGCCAGCACTGGGTGCTCGGCTGGAAGGACGCTGAGCCAGAGGGATGCTGATGTGAGGGATGCTCAGCCTGAAAGGTGCTCAGGCACTCGGCTGAGGGATGCTTGGCCAGGGCAGGATGCTCTGGCAAAGGGATGCTCAGCTGGAGGGATGCTCAGCCAGAGGGATGCTCAGCCAGAGGGATGCCTGGCTGGGGGGATGAGTGTCCAGGGGGATGCTCTGGCAGAGGGAAGTTCAGCTGGAGGGATGTCCAGCTGGAGAGATGCTGGTCTGGGGGGATGCCTGGCTTGCAGGATGATTCCCCAGGGGGATGCTCGGGCTGGCAGAGGGATGCTCAGCTGGAGGAATGCTGCTTTTGGGGATGCTAAGCTGGGGGGATGTGTGTCCGGGGGGATGTGTATCCAGGGGGATGCCCTGGCAGGGGGGTGCTCGGCAGGGGGGTGCAGCATTGTTGGGGTGTCCTGTGAAGGGCCAGGAGTTGGACTTGGATGATCCTTGTGGCTCCCTTCTACCTCAGGATATTCTGTGATTCCATGATTATTTATGCTGCCAACACCTGCCTTTCTCCTGAGATGGACCAGGAACAGACGAGCAGCATTAAAAAAAAAGCATCTTTTATTAACATGTCTTCTCAGTGTCCATCTCCATCTTCCATTTCTTGTCTGTCTCTGTCATCCTCTTGCTGTTCATCTATGTCATCCTCTCCTTGTTCATCTCCACTGTCCATTCCTTGTCTGTCTCCATCATTTTCTCCTTGTCCATCTCTGTCATCCTCTCGTTGTCCATCTCTGCTGTCCTCTCCTTCTCCATTTCCATTGTCTTCTCCTTGTCCATCTCCGTTGTCCTCTCCTTGTCCATCTCCACTGTCCTCTCATTGTCTGTCTCCGTTATCCTCTCCTTGTCCATCTCCGTTGTCCTGTCCTGCAAAAGAGAGAGAGAGAGAGATCCAGTGAGCTGCTCCCTCCTGGGAGAACATTAGTCTGGGTTCCGGTGTTGATCCATCAGATGGGATGTCAGTCCACAATCCAACATCGATCCAGCAGTCCTGGTTCCGGTGTCGATCCAGCTGATGGGATGTTAATCCCAGTTTCTGTGTTGATCCAGCTGCCCAGCTCTGGCCCATGGCACGTCCACTTGGCCACCTTGGCAGGCCCGGCTGTTGGCCCTGGGCAGGCTGGGGTTGGGGTTCCCCTTCTCTTTGTCCATCTGTGTCGTTCTCTCTTTGTCCGTCTCCGTTGTCCTCTCATTGTTCACCTCTGTCATCCTCATTTTGTCCATCTCCATCGTGTCCTCATTGTCCATCTCCCTTGTTCTCTCCTTGTCCGTCTCCATTGCCATTTCCTTGCAATCTCCATCATCCTCTCATTGTTTGTCTCCGTTTTCCACTCCTTGTCTGTCTCCATTGTCCTGTCCTGCAAAAGAGAGAGAGAGAGAGATCCAGTGAGCTGCTCCCTCCTGGGAGATCATCAGTCCTGGTTCCAGTGTTGACCCATCAGATGGGGTGTTAATCCTGGTTTTTGTGTTGATGCAGCTGCCCAGCTCTGGCTGGCTGGCTCCATGTCCTGCCCATCTACATTGTCATCTTCTCATCTATCTCCTGTGTCCTCTCTTTGTCCATCTCCATCGCGTCCTCATTGTCCGTCTCCCTTGTCCTCTCCATGTCCATCTCCATCCTCCTCTCCTTGTCCATCTGTTATCCACTCCTTGTCTGTCTCTGTGTCCTGTCCTGTAAAAGAGAGAGAGAGAGATCCAGTGAGCTGCTCTGTCCTGGGAGATCATCAGTCCTGGTTCCAGTGTTGACCCATCAGATGGGGTGTTAATCCTGGTTTTTGTGTTGATGCAGCTGCCCAGCTCTGGCCGGATGGCTCCATTGTCATCTGTTAATTGCTGGTAGTCCTTCCAATTTTTAATTTTCTTTGCATCCATGTCCATCTCCATTGTCATCTTCTTGTCTATCTCCTGTGTCCTCTCTCTGTCCATCTCCATCGCGTCCTCATTGTCCATCTCCCTTGTCCTCTCCATGTCCATCTCCATCCTCCTCTCGTTGTGTTTCCATTATCCACTCCTTGTCTGTCTCTGTGTCCTGTCCTGTAAAAGAGAGAGAGAGAGATCCAGTGAGCTGCTCCCTCCTGGGAGATCATCAGTCCTGTTTCTAGTGTTGATCCAGCAGATGGGGCATCAGTCTGGATTGCAGAGTTGATCCAGCAGATGGGATGTCTGTCCAGTATCCAACATCAATCCAGCAGTCCTGGTTGCAGTGTGATCCAGCTGATAGGATGTCAGTCCTGGTTTCTGTGTTGATCCAGCTGCCCAGCTCTGGCCCATGGGATGTCCACTTGGCCTCCTCTGCAGGCCCCGCTGTTGGCCCAGGGCAGGCTGGGAGTTGGGGTTCCCCTGCTCTGTGTCCATCTCCATTGTACTCAGAATGTCCATCTCTGTCATTCTCTCTTTGTCCATCTCCATCATGTCCTAATTGTCCATCTCCTCTGTCCTCTCCTTGTCCATCTCTGTTGTCCTCTCCATGTCCATCTCCATCCTCCTCTTGTTGTGTTTCCATTATCCACTCCTTGTCTGTCTCTGTGTCCTGTCCTGTAAAAGAGAGAGAGAGAGATCCAGTGAGCTGCTCCCTCCTGGGAGGAAATCAGTCCTGGTTCCAGTGTTGTCCCAGCAGTGGGGATGTTAATCCTGGTTTCTGTGTTGATCCAGCTGCCCAGCTCTGGCTGGTGGGATGTCCACTTGGCCTCCTCTGCAGGCCCAGACGTTGGTGCTTGGTGGGTTGGGAGTTGGGGTTCCCCTGCTCTGTGTCCATCTCCATTGTCCTCTACTTGTCCATCTGCATCATTCTCTTTTTGTCCATCTCCATCATGTCCTCATTGTCCACCTCTATTTTCCTCTCCATGTCCAAATCCATCATCCTTTCCTTGTCCATCCCTGTCATCCTCTCATTGTCTGTCTCTGTTATCCTGTCCTGTAAAAGAGAGAGAGAGAGATCCAGTGAGCTGCTCCCTCCTGGGAGATCATCAGTCCTGGTTCCAGTGTTCATCCAGCAGGTGGGATGTTGGTCCAGGGTTCAGTGTCAATCCATCCGATGGGGTGTCAGTCCACAATCCAACATCGATCCAGCAGTCCTTGTTCCAGAGTTGATCCAGCTGATAGGGTGTTAATCCTGGTTTCTGTGTTGATCCAGCTGCCCAGCTCTGGCCCATGGCACGTCCACTTGGCCTCCTCTGCAGGCCCGGCTGTAGGCCCAGGTGGGCTGGGATTGGGGTTCCCGTTCTCCTTGTCCATCTGTGCCATCCTCTCATTGTCCCTCTGGGTTGCCCTGTGCTGCACAGACACAGGGATGCAGTGAGCTGCTCCCTCCTGGCAGAGCAGCTCTCTGGGCTGGGCTGAGCTCGGTGTCCTTGGATCCCCCCGGGGCAGGGGGGGCTCTCTGATGTCACAGGGGTCTCTGGGCACCACCGTGTCCCACATCACAAAGGGTCCCTGTGTCACAAAGGGCCACACCCAGCACCCCACCAACACTGGCACCACCTGGACCCGGCTTGGGGCAGCCCCAGGCCCTGTGGCCTTGTGGGCCCTGCTGTGCCCAGAGCCCTGGGGGGCTTTGGCCCCAGTGCCACCCGACCCCCCCTCTGCACAGGGCACAGCCCAGGCTTTGCAGGCTGGGCTGGGCAGGGCAGGGGGAATCCCTGAGAGTCCCTGACCTACTGTAAAAACCCCAGGCAGGGAGGGAAAGAGAGGGAAAGGGAGAGAAAAAGAGCTCACCAGTCCTGGGTCCAGTGTCCATCCAGTGATGGGATGTCAGTCTGGAGTCCAGTGTTGATCCAACTGATGGGATGTCAGTCCAAAATCCAATGTCAATCCAACTGATGGGATGTTAATCCTGGTTTTTGTGTTGATCCAACTGTGCCTCTTTGGCCAATGACACGTCCACTTGACCTCCTCCCCAGGCCCGGCAATTGTCCTGTTGTCCCTGGAGGGGTTGGAAGTTGGAGTTCCCCTGCTCCGCGTCCATCTCCATCATCCTCTCCTTGGCCGTCTCCTTCATCCTCTTTTTGTCCATATTAATTGTTTCTGCATTGCCCACCTCCATTTTCCTCTCCATGTCCAACTCCATGACCTTTCCTTGTCCACCTCTGTCATCCTCTCGTTGTCTGTCTCTGTTTTTCACTCCTTGTCCACCTTTGTTGTCCTGTCCTGTAAAAGAGAGAGAGAGAGATCCAGTGAGCTGCTCCCTCCTGGGAGATCATCAGTCCTGGTTGCAGTGTTGACCCAGCAGTGGGGATGTTAGTCCTGGTTTCTGTGTTGATCCAGCTGCCCAGCTCTGGCTGGTGGGATGTCCACTTGGCCTCCTCTGCAGGCCCAGACGTTGGTGCTTGGTGGGTTGGGAGTTGGGGTTCCCCTGCTCTGTGTCCATCTCCATTGTCTTCTACTTGTCCATCTGCATCATTCTCTTTTTGTCCATCTCCATCAGGTCCTCATTGTCCACCTCTATTTTCCTCTCCATGTCCAAATCCATCATCCTTTCCTTGTCCATCTCTGTCATCCTCTCATTGTCTGTCTCTGTTATCCTGTCCTGTAAAAGAGAGAGAGAGATCCAGTGAGCTGCTCCCTCCTGGGAGATCATCAGTTCTGGTTCCAGTGTTCATCCAGCAGATGGGATGTTGGTCCAGGGTTCAGTGTCAATCCATCAGATGGGGTGTCAGTCCACAATCCAACATCGATCCAGCAGTCCTTGTTTCAGAGTTGATCCAGCTGATGGGGTGTTAATCCTGTTTCTGTGTTGATCCAGCTGCCCAGCTCTGGCCCATGGCACATCCACTTGGCCTCCTCTGCAGGCCCAGCTGTAGGCCCAGGTGGGCTGGGACTGGGGTTCTCCTTCTCCTTGTCCATCTGTGCCATCCTCTCATTGTCCCTCTGGGTTGCCCTGTGCTGCACAGACACAGGGATGCAGTGAGCTGCTCCCTCCTGGCAGAGCAGCTCTCTGGGCTGGGCTGAGCTCTGTGTCCTTGGATCCCCCCGGGGCAGGGGGGGCTCTCTGATGTCACAGGGGTCTCTGGGCACCACCATGTCCCACATCACAAAGGGTCCCTGTGTCACAAAGGGCCACACCCAGCACCCCACCAAAATCGGCACCACCTGGACCCGGCTTGGGGCAGCCCCAGGCCTTGTCCATATTAATTGTTTCTGCATTGCCCACCTCCATTTTCTTCTCCATGTCCAACTCCATGACCTTTCCTTGTCCACCTCTATCACCCTCTCATTGTCTGTCTCTGTTTTCCACTCCTTGTCCACCTTTGTTGTCCTGTCCTGTAAAAGAGAGAGAAAGAGATCCAGTGAGTTGCTCCCACCTGGGAGATCATCAGTCCTGTTTCTAGTGTTGACCCATCAGATGGGGTGTTAATCCTGGTTTTTGTGTTGATGCAGCTGCCCAGCTCTGGCCGGATGGCTCCATTGTCATCTGTTAATTGCTGGTAGTTCTTCCAATTTTTAATTTTCTTTGCATCCATGTCCATCTCCATTGTCATCTTCTTGTCTATCTCCGATGTCCTCTCTCTGTCCATCTCCATCACATCCTCATTGTCCATCTCCCTTGTCCTCTCCATGTCCATCTCCATCCTCCTCTCGTTGTGTTTCCATTATCCACTCCTTGTCTGTCTCTGTGTCCTGTCCTGTAAAAGAGAGAGAGAGAGATCCAGTGAGCTGCTCCCTCCTGGGAGATCATCAGTCCTGGTTCCAGTGTTCATCCAGCAGATGGGATGCTGGTCCAGGGTTCAGTGTCAATCCATCAGATGGGGTGTCAGTCCACAATCCAACATCGACCCAGCAGTCCTTATTCCAGAGTCGATCCAGCTGATGGGATGTTAATCCTGTTTCTGTGTTGATCCAGCTGCCCAGCTCTGGCCCATGGCACGTCCACTTGGCCTCCTCTGCAGGCCCAGCTGTAGGCCCAGGTGGGCTGGGACTGGGGTTCCCCTTCTCCTTGTCCATCTGTGCCATCCTCTCATTGTCCCTCTGGGTTGCCCTGTGCTGCACAGACACAGGGATGCAGTGAGCTGCTCCCTCCTGGCAGAGCAGCTCTCTGGGCTGGGCTGAGCTCTGTGTCCTTGGATCCCCCCGGGGCAGGGGGGGCTCTCTGATGTCACAGGGGTCTCTGGGCACCACCGTGTCCCACATCACAAAGGGTCCCTGTGTCACAAAGGGCCACACCCAGCACCCCACCAACAGCTGGAGAAGTGGCACCACGGGGACCACACGTGGCTCCTCAAGGCCAGGTCTGGGCAATCCCAGAGTCACTGGAACACCGAGGCTGGAAGAAACCATCAGGAGCATCCAGTCCCACCGTCACCCAGCACCACCTAATCCATGTCCCCAGGGGCCACCTCCGGGTAGAGGGGCCCAGGGGCTGCTCCTCCTGCCCAGCCAGGAGGGAATCTGAGGCATGGAACGTTCAGACAGGCAGTGAGAGGCCTCTCTGTGTACAAACAAACACACGTCACTTTTTTAATATATATTTCTAATAAACTCAAGCAACTGGTTGAACACAGAGAAGAGCATTTA